TTTTCTTCTTTTTTCTTCTTTTTTCTTCTTTTTTCTTCTTTTTCTTTTTTCTTTTTTTCGCTTAGAAGTGAAAGTTAGGAGAAATTGGAGTATGTGGATGACAGCATCCCCCTCTATTGGAGCAGCGCAGCACGCGCACAGTGTGGGCGCAGCATCGCCCGGCTCTTTGCAAGGCACCGCAAGGCAACGAAGCCACCCCACTTCACCCGCACGCCTCCAGCAGCACGCCGAGCTCCATCCAAATAAATCCAAGCAGCAAATGCTGTTACCTTGAATATTTTATCTCATAAGAGGGATATTTGAAAGATGAGAAACTGCATCAAGATGCAAAAGGTGAAAATGAACTTTCAAATATTATAGAAATTAGGGAGAAAGAATAAACATCCCTGTAGCTGAGAAGCCTGAATAAGAATCTATCAGGCAGCTGCATTATCAATCTTATTATATTAAGCATAAGTGTAAACACTGAAAAATTCATGAAGCAGAATGAAACAGTAAAGCCTAGTTAAAACCCAGAGCTCCAGTTTGATATATGCAGTGCTGACAGGATAAAGAGAAGGAAAAGAAGGAGAAAGAACAAGGGCAGTTTTACATGCTCTTTCCTTCCTGGATTTTTTAAGGTGATTCACATTCATATAGTTCAAGCGCTAGAAAGTGTATCTGTATGTTTTGCACATATCTTGGCATATCTCACTGTAGTCACCCTTAGCAGCTCCTCTCATTCCTTTCCTCCTGGTGTCGGGAAGTGTTCCCCTTGGTCAGACTGTTCAAAAGCCCAGATCTTGATAGTATAAAATTAGGGCTAGATTTCCCCAAATCAAAGAGCATGAAGTGACAGCTTAGAGCCAGATTTTTCACACTTGGCTGAGAACTCTTTTGGGAATGAGGCCATGAAGGTGGTAATATGACAACTGCTGGGAATTGAACTTCTTTGTAAAATTGCATCTTTACAACCCAGGCTCGGTCCTGAGCTATCTGGAAAGTTTATTTCTGTATGATCAAAAATGTCATGCTTCACCTCAAAGTGGAGAGCTATGTGCAATGAGCATCACATAGCTACTAGAATAAGATCTATTGTCCTATGGTGGTCCTGGTACTAGTGGGGCCACTGAAGATGACATCTCTGGAGGTCTAAACATGTGTGTGGGCACGTGTGTGTGCAAGAGAATTCAGTTCCTTTCCAGTTCTGCCGAGCACATTTGCTGCCGTGATTCTCTAACAAAGGCAGATAAAACACCCTGCTCTCTGAGGATGTGCACACAATGCCGATGAAAAGGAGAGGAATCTGAGGTTTGACACCATAAGTACAAAGAAAGCAGGCAAATGCTCATTGGGCCTTTTACTTAGTGAGACATCAAAGAAAGCCTCTATACACACACAAAAAAAGGGTAAAAAAAAGAAAAATGGAAAAGTAGAAAGAGAGAAGCAACAAAAGAAGTTGACTATGAAAAAGACAACTCACTAATGAAAATAAATGGAAACTCTAGTGAATAAGCCAGCTGGATATTTTACAAAGGAGGAGGACAAATACAATTTATTTTTGAAGGTGTCTGCCCCAAAGGCCTGCCAGACTTCCTCCTTCCAGGAGAAAAAAGTACTAAGATCCCACAAGTTATGCATGTGTAGGAACAATTTACCCTTGGGTTTGTGAGTTTAGTGTTCCTAACAAGAATCAGACCTTTTTGTGTCTCTTATTTTATTTTCTCTGGTGTGAGTTCTTTATTGCTGTCTCTTTGAAGGCCTAAATGGACACCCGTGGAGATCTGTCCCCTTTCCTGCAGCTGGAAAGAAGGAAATCTCTGAAGAACCTCCTGCCTTCCTCTGCCCCACTGGATGGGGCTTRAATTAGACAGTGTAAATGCAACTGGAGTGGTGGCCTCCTGCCTTAGCTTTGTTTAGACTTCCAAATGTAGAACGACAAAATTTGGGGAAAGTAAGTCTGTAACTCATAAATCTACTCAGTCAACACATTCTCTAAATTAGCTGTAAATGCATTCTGATCTCAACCAAATAAGTGTTAACATCTGTGAAAGATGTATGTATATGTCCATGTATAGAAACACACATATGACAAATCTCACTTTATCTGAAGRTGATTTATTTCTCTTACAGGTCAATTTACCTCAAAGCTGGGTTTAATACCCATGCATTCTGGTCTTTTATATATGACATCAGTAGAGCTTTTCAGGTGGATATTTGTACTTGGGCTCAGCCCTAAGTCCATCAACATTATGAGAAGCAGCTGTAAACCGTAGTGACTGAATTAGGAGTTAAACTTCATCACCTGAACTTAGGCTTGATATAAGTGTCAGTGAACACAGAGCCAGCCTTAGAGATCTGCTGTGGACTTGAAAATACTATACAGGTAAGTCATAAGTCTCCTTATCTRTTCTGATATCTTTAGCTATATCTGTAGCCCATCAAGAAATCCACCTGACATCCAGGCTGCAAGGCTAGACAATTGTCTCTTTAGTGTAGCTGACATACATAGGCCTTTCTCAACTTTTATTTGACTGAGGGATAATGCAGTTTTTAAGAGTTAAAAACTTAATTTCATTTTTTTTTTTGAATGTCTTGCTTGTCCTAAGTAATAGGATCTGCTCATTCTCTTCAGCTATCTCATGGTGCCTGTCCAGCCTTCAGTAATGTGGCAGGCTGACCTCTCTCTCTGTTGTTCAGAGCTTGTTTTCTGTCCTCTGTCTGGAATTTTACACTACATGTCTGCTGTTTGGGTGTTTCAGTGGCTGAGTTGTACACTCTGCACTGAGACATTTGTTAGCTTCGTCATGGGGGCCTCCATTTTTATGCTCATTCTTTAAAAATAKCTTATTGTGAAGAAAGCCCACAGTGAGAAAAATTACCTGCATGATGTTTAAGAGGGGCCAGGCAGTTCTCTGCCCCTGTTTTTGCTCCCTGACCCAGCTCTTGCCCACACACATGCATTGACAGATACTTGACTATAAAACTTCCTGTTTCCAGGAATCCGAACAAAGTTTCAAACTCCTTGATATTCATGAGATGCAGAGGAAATATGCTGGGCTGGGTTAATTCTTCTCTCAGACTGCAAAGACAAGTCAATCAAGGACTTGCTGATCCTGGTCCTTCCAGCTACAGGGAGAGGAGACACATTCCTGAACTGCTTCTACTTAAAACAGCAGACATCAAGAATAGGTTGGTATGTGTTCTTTATGGGAAGCATTCATAATTTTATATTGTCTTCAAAATGAGACTTAGAAATCTGAGAGCCCCTCATTAGGTCAACTCTATTTCTATTTATTATTTTTTTATCTGATGGTTTTCTAGATTTCTTTCATTTTATTGCTAAAAGTTTATTTTTTACCTAGCTTTCTCCTGATAATTTCCTAACAGTTATAAAATCCTTGGGAAGGTGAAAGTTTAGAAATATTTCCAAGCTCCAGGCTTAAGACTGTTAAAATATGCAGAGTACTATGCAGAGTAATTGATATTTTTCCAAAATAACATAATAGTCACTGCTCCCGCAGTGATGTCCACGTTCTGGCTAGGTGCCACAAGCAATTGAAATTGAAGTCGCCAACAGCAAAAATGATTGCATGATTTTGTTATTCCTGCTTATTTCTATATATTCTTAAGCAGCAAAAATGTTTTATTTGCCTTCATGTGAGTTGTTAAATGTTATTACAGTTCCCAGCTATTCTTTTCTTCTTCCTCTTCAAAATAAATGTAAAAGATGTCTGAAATATTTTAAAATATTTGAGAAAACAATTTTGACACCGGTAACAGCAGTAACAAAACAAATCCTTCAATCCTACCAAATTCCAAATCATCAGATCAGTTCTGATTTTAGCTTGGCTGGATCACCAATTATGGGGAGATAATGTGAAAGAAATTACATAGCTACTAGGTCTGGTTTTCCATTAGTCTGCAAATTGCAAACATTCTGATTCAGTAGCAGTTTATATTCACTTTGTATGGGTGTAAAATTGCAGCCCCACTGCCTGAAAGGAAGATTAATTCATAGCAGCCACGAATCTGGCCCTTAATGTACTTGGTTCAATGAAATGATCTTTGGGTAATGAGCAAATTGATTCTGATAATAACAGAATCAACCCAAATCTCACAGGAAGCTCTTAAGGCCAAGAGCTTAGTAAGATGCAGAAAAAGATTGGACATTTATGTGGATAATAAGTTTATCTGGAGTCAGCCTGTCTATTAACCTCCTCCATTCCAAGGCTGGTGTTTTGCRCATTTTGAGAGCTTGCTCAGACTTTGTTTTTCAGTGTGTGCTGTGAGGTACTGAGGAGTATGAGCTGGGCCTCTCACAGTGTCAGCACTGTTCCAAGGAGATGAGGTGGATTTTGCTGTCTTTGAACAAGACAAAGCTGCTAAGMGTGGACTGCTGGTGTGTTAGAGACCACGACCTCTGTACCTTAGGCCCATTTAGTACGTGTAATTACGTTCCTCCTATTGTATTTCCACAGGACTCTCTGAAAGGGATGGTGTTTTTCATGTTGCCTTCTACTAATTAGAAAGTGACCTGGATATTTTGCAGAGACATGGATAAGGGTTCAGGAGCATTGGTTGGGGAAGAGGTGAGTGACCGTGAAATACTGATCAAGTCTTTCCAGAGAAAGATAAAAGCTTGGAGTTCAAGGCAATCTTTARCTAAAACTGATAGAGGCTCGCTCACCTTGATGATAGTTGACCTTGATGGGAAGCAGGTTTCCTCATGCTTCCAGAAATTCATTTTTTGATCCAAAGTGTTGACATTTCAACAGGAGTGCAGGATCTGCCACTACTCTCTTGGAGATATGTCATAGGCCTGGGGTCAAAGTCAGTCATGTATCAAGTTTAATACTTAAATGAATTTAATTTCCATAGGAGAAATTCAGAAAGCAGAGGTTGACTCTTTTAGAATGAAAAAGGTGTTGAGTCTGGCACAAGAGAGGTTAATGTACTCTGTGAGGTCCTATGGAGTCTAATTTGGTTATTGAATTTGTATGCTGGGCTAGATTCCAGTCTGCTACTAGCGTCTTGTTTGAGCAGGCATAAATTCCTCGAAAAGTCATTTTGATTTTTGCATCTGACAAATTACCGCTGTATATCTGCTATTTTTCTCTCCTTCCATCCATATTTTTCTTTCAGCGATGCCCATCTTTTTTTCCTGGCATTACCATGTTGACAAGAACCAGTGTTTAAGTTCAGACAGAAATCACTATTGAACCACAGCAGTTCGCCCTTTCATTTTAACAATGATCCGAGAGAGCAAGATTGCGGCGGGACCTTAATTTGCCTTGTTAGAGCTGTAGCATTTGGGACTGATGAAGCTCACAATAAACCCATCATAAATGAACCTTATCTGATATATTATCTATCAAGGCAATATAAGGAACATCTGGTAAGGGMTGCTATCTGTATGCAGTAAGGCAACTATTAAACTATTGAGCTGCAGTGCATTGCACTTGGTGAATTCAGCGATAGTAAAGAATAATCCAGGCTTTCGTCTAAACCCTCATCAACTACAGAGCCAGGCTGCCCGTGGGCTCAAAGGACAGTTCAAGGAAYGCTGTGAAATGCAATACTTCAGTCTGCCAAGCAGCAAAGCAGCTGTGTCCCCTTTGCTGAATGAAGTTAGGGATTTGAAAAATAAGGGTCTGTGTTAAAACAAGGCTGCGATGAGAATCCACTTTACAGTCTGCCAGTGACCTCCTATGTCCTCTGATGTCAGCTGAAGGCAGAAAAGATGTTTCCTTCTAACTCCAAAGCATTGATCAATTCACACAATTGATCAGTGCGCCTGGATTCAGGAGCATCCAATGCATACGAGCTATAGTAGAGGATCTGCAGGCTAGATAAGGCCACCGCTGTAGATGCACAGCCCATCTGCTTTGCAGGGGATTTGCAAATATGCAGCCAAAATGTTGTGAACAATTCAAGAATATGAAAATGGATGCACAGGATGAAAAGAAAGGAACCATTTTCAGGACAAAAAGCAATAAGAATGATGAACTTTTTACTTAGGTTGACAGTCATTTCCAACTCTTTCTGAAGGACCTTCAAGGAAGAGGAAAATGAATGTCTTTCAAAGTAGGCACGCAGAAAAATCAGTCTCTTGATTTACTCTTGAGATGAAAAGCAGTCTGTATTCAACATCCCACTCAGGTTAAGGCAGTGCAGAGTGATATACCTCCYGCTAAAATGCTAAGGGAATTAAAATGGAGAGTGCAACTACTTTGAACTTGGGTATAAGACCCAGATTCGTTCTTACAATTGGGATGGGGGGGGTTCTATTTTTGCTTTAAATCATAATCACAATATTGCAGACCTCATCAGTTGCCAGCAATCACACTGGCAAGCGAGTTACTAATTGGATAGACAGAGTTCCCTAGCCTTTCTAGGATCACCTGTAAGGCATCTTCAGGGCAGCATGAGCAACGAAGCTGAAAGTCTCACCGGAAAGAAAGCAATGCTCTTGTGCTCTGTGAACCAGATCTCTCCCTCCTCTTGGTGAAGGATTATGTTTCTTTTAGTATTCAGTCTGATCTTACATAGATTCCTGCATTTTCTTTCCAAGTCACACTCACCTTTTCTGCCTGAAATAAAGACACGTGGAGCTGTAGAGCTGTACAGCCTGTTTTTTGTTTTTTTTTTTTTTAAACTGAGGAGGTTTAGGGAATGTCATGCGAACTGAAGAACTGAGACTGTCTGTCTCCATAGTGGAGTCATCCAAAAAACTGTCATTTTAAGACTGGAAAATATTATGTGTTCTTAATTAACAGCAGAGTGGGTGGGGATTATTTGTTCTTATCCTTCCAGTGTTTCTCCCTAGTAATGGGTCTTACTAATGTCATTTTAGAGAACGAGGCAAATTGCCAGATTTCAGCAGTTTGAAAGGTCTGAGTCTAAGGTTTCATTTGCCAAGCACTGTCTACCACTGACCTAATAAAAAAACATGGTATGTTTTTTATGCCATGTGATGGCATGTATATTGTGGACAAATCAGGATACAGGCAGGAGGAGAAGGAGCTGCAGGAAACATGAATTTCTCAGGGAAAATGTCTGGAGAGGCGTTAACTTCAAGAGGAGGCAGCTTGCCAACAGGGACTTAAGCCTCAAGGATGGGGCAGGAAAGGCTCTTCTCACCACAGCATTGGGGGGATGACCTGTAGGCCAGAAACCGCTCGAGAAGTTTGGAAACCTGAGYGTGCCTGTTGGGAGATTTCACAGACACATCGGAAACGGGACCATTGTTGCTCTACACTAYTGGCTGCTTCAAATGATCTTTGTCTCGTGTTTTTGCTGCTGAAAAGCCATTTTTGCAGCAATTGCTGGGTCATCAGCTTCACTTTACCAGAAGAGCTGTTTTCCTTAGCAGAAAGGACCCTGGGGCACTTGAAGTCCATATCCAGAATGGAGCTTTTATCCGCCTTGTTTTTGAGTTTTTAAATAGATAGTGTTGTGACTCGCGTCTAAATTTTGGTAAATTGAGAGGTGGAATGTGCCTAAGTGTGGGTTTATACACAAGTCTGCAGGGGACAGAACAACTTGCTCCATTATGCCAAGTGTGTGTGACCAAGCTGCATGGCATCCAAAAGACATTGCTTAGATGCGGGAAATTCCAGAGACTAATTCACAATGACCTTTCACAAGATAAATTTCTCTGCAAACCRTGCCTCATTCAACCCACAGCTACTTAAATTCACAACTTAAAATAAGTGAAGCCTGTATTTCCTTATGGCACGAAGGAATTTATCCTCTTTATAGGCCAGCAAATAAAGGAAAAAAGAAAAATTAATTGTTCCTGAGTGTTTTCTGCCTCTGGTATTCAGTTAGAAGATCAAGAAAAATACAGGATAATGTAGATATTAGATGAATATGGAAGACAGATCTACAGACCATCATGCTGGTGGTCACAAATTAGTTTTATATGTTTATATGTCTCTGAAGTCGCTCTCTTTCAGTGCTGGCTAATTGAGGACCATACAAGGAATCTGATTAGTCTATTTATAGTGACAAAATTCTGGTAATGGAGATACAGCATGTATAGCGAAATGACTCTTTCTTGGTATTAAAACTGCTTCCCTAAAGGGCATGAGCTTTGCTGGACAAAAGGGATCTTTTGCCCAGATAAGTTGCATCTGTACTGGAAGTTCTGACATTCAAACTATGCAAAGTTGAATCATCCTGTTTTGACTATGAATGAATGGAGCATCTTTCAATGTCAGTGCAGGGAGTCCCAGGGGTACTTGTTATGCAGGAAACTTCAGCCGTGAAGCTAAAGCATAATTTTAAAAACCTCCTTTATTTGAGCTGAAATGGAAGAACTCCCACTTTCAGCTCCAGCAAAATGATTTTCCAATTCGCCCATGCCGCACTGCAAGATATGTTTAGTGGCCAAAATGCACAGAGTTTCACAGTCTCAACGGTTTATTGCTGTGTTTGATCTCCGCTGTTGGCAGAGTCCTTTGGCCCAAGGCAGACACTGCTAAAAAAAACACCTCTGGCCTCCTCTTGACTCTCTCTGCCCATGCATCCTGAGCTGTAAGAGGGAATTCTATTCTTCAATTTGAGGGAATCCTGGGGAAAATCCTATTTTGTCCTGAATCTCCCTGATATATTTCATCTCTAGTCTGGTACACTGGTTTTCACTTCTCAAGAGCTCTGGACTCAGAATTTTACCAGAGCTGAAGGAATTGAAACAAATTCCATCTGCTTTGGATCCTGCTGTTAATCTTATTAGTGGAGTGCTCAAAAGTGAATGGCAGYAAAATAACTGATTGATACACATTGGTGTCCAAAGTGGGGTTTATGTCTCRATTTAGATTTGGGCAGAAACCCATTCCAGCTGGCAGGTTATTAGACGGGATCTGATCATTTGGGCTGTTGRTATAAAAGGTAGCCAGGTAGGATGCTTCTGAAAAGCTTCTCATCCTTTGTGGACAAAAGAAGTTCAAGTTAAACCTGRATCAGGGGCTCTGATGCTGGAAAGGAGACTGAGGATTCCCACTATTTKCATGACCAGGTGAATGTCCCCCATCTGACTGCAGGGATGTTGGAACAGCTGGGAATGGGGCCAAGCTTTTCTGAGTCATAGTCGTAGTCCAAAAGTCCTTCCTCCAGTAGCAAAGCTTATAAAAACCACAAAACCCTCCAAATGAGATATACTGTTCAGCAAATTAGAAGTTAAAATATATTTAGGCAATGAAGGACTATTACTGACTAAATCAGTCCTTCATGTTTTATAATGTTCACACTGCAATGAATTTTGGATATTATTTCTATGTTAACTTTGTATTTAGTATCATGACTGTGTAATACCAATGCTGTGTTTTTTTGCTACTTGTAGTAAAAGGACTCCAGCATATTTCTACCTACAGTATGCTGAGGCAAGGGACTACATTAAATTCCAGCTCAGTGGAGATTTATTATGTTAGACTGAACATTGCCTACAGTATGGTAATTCAAAGAGATAACAGGAAACATGCTATTGGTACAGGAATTTGCATTTCATAGTTTGGGATTGTAACTGATACAGCAGGTGGCTTAGTCAGGAGGCTTCGCTGTATGAYGCAGCTGAAGGTCATTTTCACTTAAGATAGATACTGCTTGGACTGTGGAAYAGCACATCCAAGCTGCTGATTTTGACTCTATGTGCAAATATTTCAAATACTTCAAATGTTTTGACTGTAAATATTTGCTTGACTATTAAAAATGGTATATGGTTCTTGTGATCATGCTCATTCATATTTACTCGCTGGTAAATGACTGTAGGAGTGAAAGGATGCATAGAACCAATGATTTTTAAACAAATATGAAAATAATGCATGTGCCTTCATCCTATATTTAAATATAAGAAATTGAAACCAAAACGGGATTTTCTTAGACCCAGAGAAYGACGACAATTCCCTATAATTCATTACAAGGAATACCAAACTAGTGTGTGCAAGGGAAATGATGCAGTTTGCTAACATTAAGAAATCAAGATAAATATTTATTCCTCTTCAGTAATGAGCTGTGGAATCACAACTTTTCTCTCAGTGTTAAGGCTCTACTTTTTCCTTCATCTTCTGATTTATGAAAAATAATAGGAAAAATAATCAGGTCTCTAGGATAGTCAAGAAAATGTCCATGTTTTTTAGGTAAATGCCAGAGGAACATTTTCCTCTCCAAAAGCAGAAATCACCYTCCCTTCTCCATTTATATATCATAATCATCTCTGTCTGCATCTACAACATCAGATAAAAGTTGGAATTCTTTTATCTTTTGTCAGTGGAAAGACCCMTTGGGCTTCCAAAGAACCTTTGTAAAACTGTGCATTGTGTCCTAACAATTTACATGTATTTGCATTTTTATATAATTATTAAACAGGCAGGTCCAATGCATGCTTGTCTTGTTGCAAAGTCTCCATAACACTCACATATGGAGAACCGCTCAGCACCAGGAACACCATAATCCCCCATTTCCCCAACAGTCTCTGATGACATGAGCAGTAAAATACTCAGTGAAAGACCTGGAGTTAAGACTGAAGAAGAGGAGGAAAAGATATGTTCCCAGCAGGCAAAATACTGCTGACATTTTTAATAATAATGAAACGCAAGACCACAGCAGGGCAAAACTGAAATCAATTTTGCATGTCAAAAGAGAGGTTGTGTTTAAATTTGTTTGCTATATTTCACTAGGTTTCGATTTCTTACAGAACAAGCTCAAGGTTATGAAAACTCTTATTAAAGTCTAAAGTCTAAATGTTCATAAGGATTTGAGAAGAAAGAGAATAAAGTTAAGACAGGTCTTCCAGCTTGGGTTTGGATTCACAGAACTTCCATGGAAGATCCTCTTCTCCCTCTTGATTTGAATTTCAATTCATTTTCTTTTTTTAGAAAATTAAGAAGAGGCAGTGTAAATAACTGTTTTTTTTTTTAAAGCATTCTAGTTCACATTTTATTCCAAAATTCTGAATTTGTATGAATGACTCCCAGAAGCTTGGGAGGACCTAAATGCCTGCAATCTTGAACCATATTTGCCTTTGCTTCTCACTTGATTATTTCATTATAAACTCCCCTTTCCTTTAAACAACCTGATTTCAGTCAAATCTGTACAAAAAGAGCTTCATTTGGTCTCTTGATATGAAAATTGGCAACGAGGGAACGTCGGCGGCTTGTGAAAGGCCTTGATAAGCCTCTGAATTATGKGGAATTTATGAAGGGATTTTGTTTGGGTTCCTGGCACAGGTCTGTGATTGGAAGAGTGAGAAGAAATGCCTGAGGAGCAGGGAAAATGGCAGTTCTGGGAGAGGCGATGGGGATTTCCTACATGCTCTTGGCCCTCCCTGGCTCTTGGCTCTGCAGCTTTTGGACACTAGAGGTCTGTGTTTGCCACCAGCTGCTGCTCTKCACAGGAAGCGAATGCAAACAGTTTGGGCACCGTAAATTTATTTTTTCTCTGATTAATCCTCTTAGTCACTAATGATGTGAAACAGAATTATTTCCCAGATCTAGTCTTGATAGTGGGTGATTTCCACATCCACATTATCCCAACAGTCTGCAGAAACCTGGGAGAATCGTGAGCATCCTCAGTGGCATCACATTGGTACCTCCAGCCCCATATAAGGTCTTGGTGTCCAACTTTGAGAAACTTCAACAGTGACCTCACGTTGCTTTAGCTTTTACAACCCATGCAATGTGCATCTCTGTGGGAACTTTCGAAGCTTTTATTTTCAAAATAGATAGGAGAGCAAAATTTAGACCAGTGGAGCTCGAGAAATACTAATCAAGGTGCAAATTCATCTTMTGACTCTTTTGGTATATATAATCTAGGAAGAAACTAACAGCAGCTAGGTTTGATGTTTTGTAAACATCTGTCTGTTCATTTAAATTGAAGATCAAGACACAGAAATGCTATATTTATTCTTTCCTTTTTTTTTGTTTTTTAATTTAAAATGTCTCATTGTGTTTTTTTTTTTTAAAGCAGAAATAACCAATTTCAGGGAAATGATATGTAGGAAATACTAACAAACTGTAAAGTGCAATATGTCTTTCTCTAAAGAAATTCACTTGGCTAAATTTTTGCTCTTTCTTACAGCAGCTTCAACCATGACTGCAACTACTGAGCAAGAAAGTTATTTCATTGACTTGATTAGAAATTGGACAGAATATGATCTGCTAGTTAAAGGAAGGAATACTGAAGTTTCCTTGCTGCCTGAAGGGAAGTCATTTGCAAAATCTGGTTACATGGTAAAGATAATTTTTATATAAAGGTCACAACTGCAACTACTAAAATTCTCAGCTACTAAAGCCTGAGAAGTAATAAAACTATAATAATATCTATTTGAGAATAGTACTCGTGATTAAAAAGGGAGTCTTTTGCAAAAAAATTATACTCAAAATGTAAGTGGTGATGTTAGAGATTTTCTGGTTTCGTTGAAGAGCTCAGTGATTAAGGAAACTAAATTAATCTTGTTAGCCAGTATATGTCCTAAAATGGAATAGCCCAGATTAACTCATAACCCATTTTAAATCAGGACAAGCTATAGAGATGCCAGTCTGAGATTAAAAATAAAAGAAAGAGAATTAATCTCTGCCTAGATCAATTGGAGTTTTGTCTTATTAAAAGCAGGAAGGACATTTTAATGTTAAGTGAGTAAAGAAGATAGACACACACCCCACAAACTCCAGAAGTGGAATTATTTGAAAAAAAAAACAAAACTAGCAAATGGTTTTGAATAACGAATACATTCAAGAAACTAATAATCCTTAATGGAGGTAAGATTTCATCCATGGCATTGATGGGTAAATTGATGACTTCAATATGTGGAGATCAATTTACTTTCCTCCAAATTTTTTATATGCAGTATACTTCACAGCTTTTCTTTTAGAAATAAATGAAAAATATATTAAAGATTTTATTTAAAGAAGAAAAAAAAAACAAATTGGAAAGCCTGTGTAATTCTCACTTAAGGAGTTTGATTTTATTGGGATGTAATCAAAGTGAATCATAATTAATGTGGTAAAAGAAAAATCAATTTAAATAAAGCAAACTCAGGAAATAACAAGGTGCAACTTGGTTTTGGGCTGTCAACTGGAAGTGACAGTGAAGGATTAATACTTCATGGCCCCGTGTCATTAAGTAGAGCAGAGGTGGCTTCTATCTTTTGATGTTCCTGCAATTTATAAAAAAAATTCTCCTTTTTTTTTTTTTTTTTTTTTTTTTTTTTTTTTTAACAGCATCTTTGGTAATCATATTCATCTATGGTCTGAAGACAGAAGAAAATAAGAAAATACTTGCCATTTGGACACTCGTTTGTGTGTCTGCAAGGCAAGAATTGTGGTTTCAGCCCAGGGGATCACATGTTGAGACCCTCACAGATCCCAGCCATGGCTTCAATTAAAAAATTAGGCTGTCCTTTGCTAATACCAGAACTGTTGCAAGGAACAAAATCATTTTAYTCTGGACTTCACTGTGGTGGATAAGGATGAATTAATCATTGGTCTGGATGCTGGTTTTTGGCAGAGGATCAGTATTCATGACCCCATTACATTCATATGAGCAAAGAGAAGACAGTTGCAACCACAGTGCTTTCATGAGACACACACATATGCAGGGCTTTAAAAGATCAACTTCACTGAGCTAAGGGAGGGTTATCAGCTCAATCATTTGATGGGGAGGGAATAGAAAAAAGGAGTATGAGTGAAACTTGAGAGATTTTTTTAAATTTAGGAATTGACAAATCAGGAAAAGCAATGACTGTCTAAAACCTGATTCTAGTTCAATATGAAAGGAGGAAGTTTATTTTTTCAAAGCAATTTACTGTTAACATTGAAAAAGGGAAACAGATGGCAATAATAACCCTGAGAAATCGTGATGTCCTAAAAAAGCTATCCAAACCCAAAACAAAAAACGGGAGGCTACAAATATTAGAGAAAAATCCATGCTTGTAAGTCATACAGTTTTCTTTCAGTCATGTTATGAACCCAAATTCTTGCAAAAGATATTTTTCTCAATAGTAGACAAGAATAATAAAACCTTTCTTTGTGCAGAGAAAGAAGAAATTATTCAAAAAATAATTCTGTCCTGTAGCTGGAAATATGCAGGTGCTGAACATATCACGTAAAGAGGGAATACCTCCCAACCCATGAATAAAATCATGATTTTAGGCAACTTCTTCTAGCGAATAATGTTTTTCATCAAGTAGACTCAGACAATTGAGTGTGAGAGATAAAAAAAAAAAAAATACAGAGGTAAGAGATGCCTGTCCATCTGATTCTAGTTTATATTTAGCTTCAGCTAACCAGGTAAACTGTGGAAGGAAAGGAAAATACTGTTGAGTATTCATAAAGAAAAAAAAGAAGACAAATATTGGTAGCTATAGTTTTATAGTTGTTTAGCTTAGTTAACCCCATATAGCTCCCAGGTTCCCTGGTTGAAGGACTATATTAGATTTTCAGGYAATAAAAAGTGAAAGGACAGGAGTATAATTGTCCACAATTAAAGAAGTTATTTCTTAATTTTAGGGAGTTAATGGTTSCATGATGGAGATTCATTATGTATGATAATCAGGGAATAAAATCTAACACTCTCGTTTACAAGTGAGAGAAATAGAAACATTCAAAAGAGCAAGAGATGTCTGAAAATGCTGGGGCAGGGACCTTAAACAACAGCCAAAGGGTTGAAGGATGAAGGAAAGTCAGAGAAGACAATGCATATTTTACTTAGTTATTAATGATTACAAATTCTGATGCCTGTGATCAGTGTTCCAGAAGCTCCATTCCAAATTCTGAAGTGAATATTTTTCTACAAAAGATCAGAAAAGCCCAAGGCTTGAGTGCCATAGGATTTCARTGTAAGATAGATACAATCTGCAGTTGATTAAAAGYGTGACTCTGTGTGTGTCTGTGTGTGTGTTTGTGTAGGGGGGGATTTAGTTGTGCTTTATGAAGTGCAACCAAAAGCAGAAAAGAATGGAAGGTATTAGCAAGCTCTTTTGCCTGGAGGAGAGATGCACCACAAGAAGCAAAGGCTGAAACTGGATTAAGACTCAAAAGAAGCTTTTCAGAAAACATGGTAATGGTGATTAACCACCGGAACAAAGTACAAGGAAAGGGATAGAAATGAAGTCTCTTCAGATTTTCCAGTAAARGCTGAAAGCTTTTCTTTGAGACAGGCTTTAATCTAAGACAAAGAATGCTTTAGTCAAATACAAGTTATTGGACTTAGCGCCAGATAATTGGGTGAAGTTTAGTGGTCTGAGATATTTCAAGGAGAAAACAGAGAGATCTTTTTTGATCTTACTCTTGTGAATCTGTGAGTTAAATCAGCTACTCTGTTGGCTCTGCCTGGCTCCGGGAGCAGAACTGCACCCAGTTCCCGTTATACTCAAACTGGTTGCACACATTTGAGGGCAGCCTCACTTCCAGTAAAGGGCTGGTCTTGTTTTGAAAAACTTTATAAAATACAAACTATCTAAAACAACTCATTGCTTCTCCCAGAAGCTAATCTCTCTCATCTTGACATCTTACCTGAAGCTTAAACCAATGTGATTTAACACACCTTGCCATTAGCCTTTGTTATGCTGTATTCATGCTTAAAAAATTCTTTATTACCCAGCAATAGTCATCATGTGTCTCTGAAGATATTTTGGACTTTGTCACTTTTTACACCTCCTCTTTTAGTGGGGTAAGTGCATGTTGATGGTCCCTTAAGTAATAATATGGGAAATCTCAAGAGGAGTTGGCATTTTTCTTGAACAGAGGTAAGAAAAATGATTTCAGAGAATGCATATCAAGATTACAGATAAGATGAGGGATGCAGATTTAACTGTGCAGCAAAAACTTTGCCTTGTGGGAAGTTCTCTTATTACTTGGCAAAACACAAGAGCAGGACTTTGAAGCGGGTGAATGTATCCCCACTGAAGTAAGCAACAGGACTCCCATTTAAATGAATGGAGCATAGACCACTGCTTTATATTCCAGCCTAAAATATTGTCCTCAATTTTCCACTTGCCTGGTGCCTCGTGTTGTCATTTATAGCAATGCAAACAGAGTACAAAGTAGATATAAAACACCATTAGGTCAGATTTTTCCACTCATTTATACTAGCTGTAGCATCTGGCAGCCTACTTATATCAGCTTTACATGGCTAAATGAGTGCATTTAAACAGTATATACCACAGCAGTCCTGTTATGATGCTTTCATTCCTTCTTCAAAGCAGTTTCAGTCTTCTTCCAAACACCATCCAGGTGTACTGAGCTTCTACTTTCTTATGTCTATGTATAGAAGCTGTGCTATGTACGGGTCCCTGCTCTCTGCTGGTTGAACCAAAAGCTTTACTGTGTATCCTACATTTAGTACTGCTAATAACCAGAGAGCTTGTCTTCATCTCCAGTGACATCTTGTCCACATCAGCCGCCTTTCATGGATCCAGAAAAATCATGTCCTCATCCTGCTTTTGGAATTGGGCTCCTTGTGGCCACATACACTTAGTGTATTTACAGCTATGATGTTTCTCAATTCTATCTATGTAGCATATATTTACAAGATTATGAACCAAGACACTTACGTGTGATGTGTCACCATCAAATAACTCATTCACTCTTATGGCCCACACATCAACTTGCTATAAGCTTGATCAGTTCCTTAAGAGTGATGAATAGTGTTAAAATTTGCTGTATTTCTTTCTGCCACATGCTCTGAAAAGCCTATTAACAGTCTATGAAACAAGTAAACCTAGTTCAGTTACGCTCTGCACTATTCTGGCACTGTTGCAAGCACAAAAATTGATTGATTGCACTTTGTGCTAGTCTATATCTAGCCTGTTCACCTGCAGAGCACTGCTCCTGTACACTTTTTTTGTTGTCCTCAGCAACATCCTGGTGAATGCTTTTCCTGGTACAGAGATTTCTCTGTAATTCTAGCAGTAGCTTGTCTCTTTTCTCCTCTGTGTACTAATCTCATTAAAAGATTCATGCATCGCCTTAGCTGCACGTCCCTCAGCTGCTGATCATAGCCCTGCTGTTCATGTATCGCTTCCCTGGAGAAAACTGCAGCGTGTTGTGTCCTTAATAGGAGAGGGTTGTGCGTGTGGAAGACGGCGTTTCAGTCACTGTCTCGGCCCTCACTGGCAGCTCCAGCTGGCTACATCAGTACCGTGGTGCCCTGCTTGGGGGCTGCCAGGATATCAAAGGGACAGCGCTCCCGGCCCTCCTTGAGCATGTGGCAAGGCAGGTAAAACTGYCTCCCATCTACAGGGCTCAGGGGAATGGTGCAAGGGAATAACATGGAGCAAAGGCGCTGCCTGCTCTTGCTGCAGTGTGTGGAGGTCTTGCTGCAGGAGTTAGTGGGGAAAGAAARAAGCCAGGGTCACTTAGGGGGGATGAGGAATATCAAACATGCATTTGAAAGATGCAATAATTACTGCAAAAAAAAAAGGCTTGTAATACCACAGAAAATTTAGAAGGTAAGTTGTTTCAGGAAATAGAGAATATAAAAGCATTATGCCTGTATCACTGACATGAGCAGGAAATTTGGGGCTGATGGGAAGCGAGTTGTGAACGCGAAGGTGAAATTTGCCACGGTTAGTGCAGTGTGTTGATACAGGAAGATAAAACTGTTATATTGCTGCTGAAAGATGAGTGAACATTTGAGACACTTGGAGCAAAAGTGAAAAGGACATTATGGCCTGGCTGGGAAAGGGCTAGGCACTAGCCAAAAGGACAAAAACAAGGTGAAGAACAGAATAACTTCTGAAAACACCTGGTGAATGAGAACTATGGAAACTGGTGGAGAAGGAAAGGAAAACTTGCACTCAGAGCTGAGTACAGTAGACTGGTCATGACCATCAAACAAAGTGAAAGAAATGAGAGAGGTGATTAACAGGAAAAAAATATAAGGGAGTATAAGAATGCAAAATGTGATGCAGCAGTTATGTGATGCATTCTGTAAGAGAATTGATGTGGAGGTGAGCTTAAGATGTTGATGATGGGAAAGCAAAAAGCTAAGTCTTAGTAAGCAAAGCTGTACGTTTTCTGACAGAAAGAAGCTTCCAAGGWCCTGAGTCTTCCTGGAGAAGTACAGGAGGTCAGTATCCCTACTGCAAGGGGGAKTGAGCTTCAAACGTTAAAAATTAGTAAAGAGCCTTGGGAAAAGGGAAAGGGTGCTGGGGATTATAAAGAGCCACAGACCTTCTGCTAACAGACAGTGAACATATGGCAAAGGCGTAAACAAGCTATTGAGCAGGATTAACCAACACGAGCAAGGACCGGTTTCAGCAGACGTGCCATGTTCCTCGT